GAAGGAAATCAACTTCCAGGATTTACCCTCCTCCCCTGACCCTTTGCTTCCAATTTGCAGCCAGACTAGTTCCTGAAAGCTCCCTGTCAATGCCACTAGACACACACTCTGTACTACTCCATTGGTACAGTTTCTCAGCCACTCACACCTGGCTGAGAGACTACTCGGAAGGGATAACATCTAAAGCTGTAAGCACAAATCCTGACTAAACTGCACAGTGAAATGCGACCCAGGACCATGGCTCCTGGATAGCTAACTACTGCTCTAGAGATGTGAATGGCAAAACCTGTCTCAGCCGCTGCTCCAGCCAAGGCCATTAGTCCAGAGTCAAGGGCACCCAAGGGTGAGGACATTGCCCACTATATTCAGGAGCTCCTTCTCTGTACCCCGAGTTACCCAAGGGACCAAATCTCAGCCCAGACAGCACCTGCAGCGTGTAAGTTACCGACCAACTGCCCCATGCCTCTGCCTCTGTGAGAAGCACCTTTCTTCATGTCCATCTTTCTCCATGTCCCTCTTTCTGTGCCTTTCTCCTTGTCCATCTAAGTCAGCAGAAGATAGATTGATACATTTTTCTGAGAACTGAACTTTCCAGGACCGAGTTTGCCCAGTTAATGAGATCTTTTGATCTCATCCAAAGGGAGATTTGCAGACTTTACTCTCCCACAGGAAGCTAGGGTCCATGCTGACCCAATGGCAGCCCGAGCCCAAGAGGGCCACACGAGGGGCAGAGGGACTATCGCTGTCCCTGAGGCAGACCCGTGACTACATGATCGTTTAACAGAGGTTATGAAGACACTTACAGTAAAATCTGTCAGTTATGAAAAAGTGCAAGTAGTACAACAGGGGTGAGATGAAAATTGGAAAGCATTTCATGAGAGGTTGATAGAAGCTTTCAAAAATAGCAGGGGCTTTTCTGGTGGCTCACTGGGAAAGAATCCACGTGCCAATGCAGGGCACATGGGCTCGATCCCTGATCCAGGGAGATCCCATGTGTCCTGGAGCAATTAAGCCTGGGAGCTGAAACTACCGAAGCCCAGGCCCTAGAGCCTGTGCTCTGAAACAAGAGAAGCCACTGCAGTGAGAAGCCCATGCTGAGAAAAGCCCACACAGCAACAAAGACAGAGCATAGACAATATGTATGAGTGTGAATGCCTTCTCCCTCAAGGGACAGGCCCTTTTGGCTATGCATTTCATAGCCTACCCTGCCACAGACATCAGGAACGAGATTCAAACAGCAACTGCTGGTCCTCAGACCCCTATGAACGATTTCCGCCAACTGGCTTATTCAGTTTTCATAATAGGGACATGGTTGAAAAGGCTGAATGCTCCCAGAGAAATACACAAAGGGCTGAAATGATGGTTTTAGCTTTGTCCACTCAGAGACCACCGGAGGAGAGGTCAGTCTTTGCAGGCCAAGCTGGTCATAGTGGACCACAAGGCCCACAGGTACCCAGACCAACCCAGGGTGCCCCGTGTGGGCAGAAGGGCACTGGAGGAGAGATGGTGGTGGACTCGCCCGTTTACGGACAGCCAGAGAGGTGGAGGAGGGAATGCCCCCGACACCTGAGATCCATGGGTGGAAATCAGTTCTGACTTTTTATTGAACATTTAAAACTAAATGAGCACCTCCTGGAAAACTTCAGTGTTTGGGAATGGAACGGAGCATTCAGAAAGAGATGTCAGGTCTAGGGAGTGTTTTGTTATACCGTCTAATTTAAACTGTAAAATCACGTTTACTAATTTTTTTTCTTTCTTTTTTGACCACATGATGCAGCTTCCAGGGTCTTAGTTTGCTGAATAGGGATCGAACCTGAAACCCTGCAGTGGAAGTGAGGGATCTTAACCACTGGCGCATGAGGGGATTCTCCAACTTTACTAATCTTGATGAAAGGTTGTTAGTGAATGAAAAGACCACTCAGAGCTTTCGTGTTATAAAGTTTTATTAAAGTATAAAGGAGATAGAGAAAGCTTCTGACATAGACATCAGAAGTGGGCAGAAAGAGTACCCGCCTCCTAGTCTTCAGTTGGATGTTACATAGTCACTGAAGTGAAGTGAAGTCGCTCAGTTGTGTCCGACTCTTTGCGACCCTATGGACTGTAGCATACCAGGATTCTCAGTCCATGGGATTTTCCAGGCAAGAATACTGGAGTGGGTTGCCATTTCCTTCTCCATATAGTCACTAGTAGTCTGTTAATGAAAGAAAGGAATGTCTTAAAACTCAGAATGGCACAAGGCCCCTCATCCATAAGATGCATTTTGGGATAATCTTGGCACTAGATGATTCATCCCAGGCCATAAATCTTGACTTTAATCTTGTAGAAGGGCAGATTACGATACAAATAGTTTTATTTACATAGATTAGGGGAACAGTATCTGAGTGTAACATACTTGTTCGTCAAGTAGATTCTGAGCCATTAGGCAGAGTCTGGGGTAAATGCATAGTACATTAACATAGCTTAAGACAAATATCTCCATAAGAAAAATGCATTGGTTAACTCAACGTTTGAGAATAGTTAGCTTCAGGTGAAACAAGGTATCGTTATGGCAACACAGTATTTTAAGAGAAAGCACCTTTTAAATTTGTATAGAGAAGGGGAAAAAATATGGCTAGTTTGTTTCCTCCTGCGGCTTAAAAGAGATAAAAATGTCTGACACTTGCAGCCTACTTCCTCCATTTGGATACCCCTGGCCTTCCTGCCTGTTACCCTCTCATTGATTCAGTATTTTCTTAATGGAATAAAATAATTAAATTTTGGATTTTGTTAATAAGTACACACCTAAAATTGATTAAAATCACAGTATTATTTTTAAAATATATTTATTTCCTGTACTGTATCTGCATTGCTTCAGTGTCTTTTCCCTGGTTCTGGTGAGTGGTGGCCACTCTCTGGTTGCGGTGCGCACGCTTCTCATTGCAGTGGCTTCCCTTGTCTTGCAGCACAGACAAGTGGCTTCCCTTGTCTCAAGCGCGCTGGCTTCAGTACTTTTGTTGCAGGAAGGGGGACCCCTTCCAGGGCCTGAAACTGGGCTCTTGTCTAACACTTGGAAATGAATTGTCCGAGGAGACACATGTGCTGACAAAGCAAGAGATTTTATAGGAAAGGGCACCTGGGCAGAGAGCAGGAGGGTCAGGGAACCCAGGAGAACTGCCCTGCGCGTGGCTTGCAGTTTTGGGTTTTATGGTGATGAGATTAGTTTCCAGATGGTCTTTGGCTGATCATTCTAATTCAGAGTCTTTCCTGGTGGCACACGCATCGCTCAGCCAAGATGGATGCTGGTGAGAGGGATTCTGGGAAGTGGATGGACACTTGGTGTCTCCTTTCGACCTTTCCCAAACTCTTGAGGTTGGTGGTGGCTTATTAGCTCCGTATTCCGTATCAGGATCGCCTGTCATAAAACAGCTCATGCAGATGGTTACTATGGTACCTGGCCAGGGTGGGCGGTTTCAATCAGCATGCTTCCCCTATGAGTTTCACCTCCTGGGCTCTAGAGCTCTGACTCAGGAATTGAGACTCACGGGCTTAGTTGCCCCTCAGCATGTGGGATCTCAGACCAGGCAACAACCCACATCTCTTGCATTGCCAGTGGATTCTTTACCACTTACCCATAGGGAGGCCCTCATTTATTTATTTATTTATTTATTCCACATATTTTTAAATACAGGTATTTTATAGAGATTGGAAGAAATCTTCTGTATGTTATTTTCTGCTTGTATTACTTTTTATTTTTTTTTTTGAACTAGAATAAGATAATGTTGAGGAGTTCACTGGTAGTAAGTACAGTGGCTAAGAATGTGCCTGCCAATGTACGGTGCACGGGTTCCATCCCAGGTCCAGAAAGATGCCTCAGAGCAGATAAGCCCTGGGCCACTACTACTGAGCCTGTGATCTAGAGCCCGAGAGCCATAAGTACGGAAACCCACACTCTCTAGAGCCTGTGCTCCAAAACAAGAGAAACCACTGCAGTGAGAAGCCTGGGCACTGCAGCTGCAACTAGAGAAAGCCCACTCACAACAACGAAGACCCAACATAAGCAAAATAAGTAAGCTTTGAAAAAGCTTACTTTGTTGACAAAGGTACTGAATGAAGAAATAAAATGAAAGAATAGAATGGAAATGCACACCAACATTCTTGCCTGGAGAATTCCATGGATAGAGGAGCTGGTGGGCTGCTGTCAGCGGGGTTGCAGAGTCTGGCATGAGTAAGCAGGTACACACAACTTGCACACACAGCAGATTGAGCTCTGAAAAGCAAATCTAACCGTCTAACTTTCCTCTTGCAGATTCTTCAGTGACTTCCAGTAGTTTTTGGAATAAAGTCCTAAATCCATAGCTTTTGCATAAAGTAGCTTCTGCCTGGAATCACCCCATTTACATTTCCCGTGTTCCCCTCACAGTGGCTGACTTTCTGTTCAGTAAATGTCTTCCTGCCTCAGAGCTGGCACTCAGGCTGTTCTCTCTGCTTGCAACAGTCTTCCATTTCCCACCTTGTCAATCCTAAGTGTTTCTTCCTCACACAGACCTTGTGTGATTTCTCAATGTAGGTTAAGACTTTCTGTTTAATCTTGTGTTCACACTGGGCCTGTGTCAGAGCACTTATTTTGATAATAACATTAAAATTGTGGACAAAATTTGTTGGCTGGCTGCTAGATTGTAAGCTCCGTCATGTTCACTGCTGTATTTCAAGTTTGAGGCGCAGTGGTGATGCATGGATTTTGAAAAAATGAAAGAAAAAAGATAACTCCTCTTGTTTCAAGCAATTGTGTGTTTACACATGCATGCATGAATGCATGGATATGTAGCTCCATGGTTATAGTACAAAAACATCATCTCATAAATGGTGGTGTTTGCTTTGTAGCAGTTTCAGTTGTTATCTTAAGTGTACTTCATGGCGTTAAGTTTTATGTGCATCATCACATGAGTGATGTAAATTGTAGTAAGACTATTGACATTGTAAGACACCAGTCTTGCTGTAAGTCAACTAGATATTGACACTGTGTCACTCAGTGTGTTGAATGTAACACTTCTGCATAGACAACCCAGAGTAGGTTTTAATTTGTGTATTTTTCATCTATTGTCCACATACATGACAAATTCATGTTGATTCCAGGAGATCATAATCTTAGAAAAAAGAGGAAATTAGAAATTCGATTAGAGACCAACAGTTTGCTTCAAGCAGCTTTTAATGGATCTCTCAGAATATTACTTCAACTGAATTGAGCTTTACCCCTCTCACCTCTTCTCATTTTGTGTGAAATGAAGAATCCTCCTCAGGGCCTGTTGGTGAAATGTGTTTTGATTTAATTTCATTTCAGTTGACCTTCAAGGATGTGTTCACAGATTTCACTCCTGAGGAGTGGGAATGTCTGGACCCTGCCCAGAGGACCTTGTACAAGGACGTGATGGTGGAGACCCTCAGGAACCTGCTGTCTCGGGGTGAGGATCACTTCCCCTGAAGTGGGGATCTGCCCTGGGGTACCTCTGCATGTTCCCTCTGTACCTTTCGAGATCCCCTGTTTCTCCAGGCAAGAGTACTGGAGAGGGTTGCCATTTCCTTCTCCAGAGGATCTTCCTCACCCAGGGATCGAACCCAGATCTCCCGAATTGTAAGCAGATGCTTTACCATCTGAACCACCAGGGAAGTCCTCTGTTTTTCTTGACTAAGCTCAAAACCTTGTTGACTCACACATGTAAAGCTTCGTGATTGGCATCAGGAGTTTAAACTTGTCTTTCCTTCTGGTGACCTGCCAATGTGTGATACACAAGGAGTTTCTCCACAGCTTGAGCATTTATAAAGCTGATTTAAAACTTTGAAATATCCAGTTGCGTGTTTTCTAGCCCTGTGTTCTTGGTTCAGTAGTTCTTAGATAGAAACTATGTCGGGAGCCGCCGGGACGTGCCCAGGCCATGACAAGGTCACGGGATAAGAGAGGAACCTGCAAGGCAGCCCTTCCCCACGGGGTTGCCGCGGGGGCCCAATATGTCCCCTTTCTCTTTCTGTCTTACTGTTGTTGGGTTTTCTATTAATTCTTGGGAATGTAACATATAGTGATCAGGCCTCCCTGGAAAAGTCCAAGCCTATTAAGAAGGATCCCCTAAGGCCGAGGCCTACTCTGCCTCTTCAGCATTGGGAACCTTATGACTAATCAGGAATGAAAGGCCTGTTCAGGTTTGTGACAGACCATCCACCACACAAGTGGCGTTACTCTTGGGAGGGCATCAGAAATGCTCATGATTGCTCCACTCAAGACACAACCATAAACATTGTACCAAGTCAAGAGGGAAAAGGCCACAGGCATAAATTGGCTGCTTGCTTAGATTATAATGTTCTAGATTAAAAAAGTGTAGAGGTATTGAGATTCAGAAGTAGATGTACCATAGGTTAATGTTCTTTGGTCAAGAGGATTTTCATTGTTGCTATTTCAGTGCTTCTATTTGTCCACTGTTTCCATTCCCTTAATAAACATAGAATATTACGGGTATTTTTGTAGAATAGAAAATGTGTAACATAGGATTTCAATAGAAGATTTATATTAACCAGCCACACTGCCAGTACCTCATATTAATAGAGGTGTTTTGTTGCTTCATAGTTAAATATTGTAGACTGAGGTTTTGTGGTCTCAGTTAAAGAAAAATATCAGGGTTTTCACATGGTACTATTCTCAGAAATGTCAAACATGTTTTTTTTATAACCCTTCCCAAGTATTGTGTTATTGTGCAAAGAATTTATATTATGTTTAGATTTTATGGAACATTGTTTTTGGCAGAATGAAAATGTTAGGCCATTGAGGCAAGAAGACTAATGTACGGGGCATTCAAGGAAAAAAACCCTGTAATTGGGAATGTTCCAGATGAATGCATATGGGAAAAACATGGGGAAGAAAAAATATTGACGGAAGCACGAAACGAATATCTGATGTAATATGAGGTGACTTACGGGAGGAGGTAATGTTTATTCTATAAAAGCTGAGCTGTCCAAAAAATAAAGAGCCTTTTCGTGCATGCAGCCTTCCTTGTGTGTCCATCTCCTTCCTCGCTGATGCCACTCATCCCTTGGGTACTCCTGGACCCGCTGGGGCTGGACCCAGGCAGAACTAGATCCCGGCTACATATTATAATGTATGTTATACTGTTCCCTGTGCATTCAACAGCAGGCAGATGGTAAATTCATTTGAGAAGTATTTTTCTGTTGGTTTATAATGTCCTCACTCCTTGGCTGAAAAAAGAGCTGGATTCTACACCTGACAATGCAGGAGACCCGGGTTTGATCGTTGGTCAGGGAAGATCCCACATGTCACAGAGCAGCTACACCTGTGTGCCTCGACTATGAGCCAGCACTCAAGAGCCTGGAAGCTGCAACTGCTGAGCCCACATGGGACAACTCCTGAAGCCCGTGCACCCAGGAGAAGCCGCAGCAAGTGAGGAGCACGAGTGCTGCAACTGCAGCGTAGCCCTACTACAGTTGTGAGAAACATTTTAGTGCAAATGTCGTGAGTGTGACAAAGCCTTTAGTCAGTGTTCAGGCCTTATAATTCAGAGAATTCATACTGTATAGAAAACATGCAAGTGAAATGAATGTGGCAGAGTTTCTAGTGCATGTTCAGCATGAATTAGACAGTTCATACAGGAGAGAAACCCCATAAATGTTATTTTTGTGGGAAACCCTTAAGTCACAAGGAAAAACATTGCAGATCATCTGAGAATCCATACGGCAATGAAAACTTACACATGTAGAAAGTGCAGTAAAATATATCAACTTTTTGACCCTCAGAAAACTGAACCTGTAGGAAAACTACACAAATGTGTTAAGTGTGGGAAAGCTTTGATTCTGTGTTCAGGCCTAACCCACCATCAGTTAATTTTTTTTTTTTTTTACAATATTGTGATGGTTTTTGCTGTACATCATGAATAGGCCATAGGCGTACATATGTCCACTCCCTTCTGAACCCATCTCTCTTGCCACTGTGTCCCTCCAGATTGTCACAGAGCACTTGCTTATACATTAAACTCCCACTGACTCTTTTACATATGGTAATATATATGTTTCAGTGCTAATCTCTTAAATCCTGCCTTCCTATTTCTTTTGTTTTTTTCAATAGTTTTTCCTTAGCATTGCTTTTTCTATCCACATATTATGACCCAGATTTAACATTTAATTTACATTTCTTTCCTGCTTTACACTAACAAATACATAAGTCTGTGGGTTATTTTGAGCCTTTTGTAACATTAAAATGCACATAGACAATGACAGGGAGCATAGTAGGTGCCCTGTAAGTGTAAAGAAAGACAGTTCCTTTAAGACTTGAGTTCAGTCAGAATATACACATAGAAATATTTATAAATAGTGCCAAGTTGATAATTTTGGGGGGAAATAAATTCTAGTGTCTTAAGACTTTATGTTTGACAATGTGCTTTGTTGTCCACAACTGACAGATCTTTCAGAAACAGACAACAAAGACATGAGAGAAAATGTATTACAATTTTTTAACAGGAAGTAAATTGCCTAATCACAATCAAGTATAGTAATTTGACATTCCATTACATTGAAATATTGGCTTAAGTATTATATCTTATGATGTAAACAAGTTTTTCTCATATAAGTTTTTGAAGCTTTGTCATCATAGGCATGGAACGGAAACTTTTATAAAGAAGAATGCATTTCTCATTAAAAGATTTTTTCTCTCTTTAATAATGTTTAAAATTTATTTTTGGCTCTGCTAAGTCTTCATTGTGCTGGCTTCTTTGTCTTTTTGCAGCAATCGGGCTGTGAATTCTCCACAGAAACTTGGCTGGGGTATGTTTGGAGACTGGCGTTTTGAAGGTTCTTTTGGTCATTCCAGAGGACTCAATGTCTGTTTGTTTTATTGGCTGTGCTGAGCCTCTTTTTGCTGCACAGCTTTCTCTAGTTGCAGCAAGCAGAAGCAACTTTCTAGTTACTTGTGTGCAGGCTTCTCATTGCTGGGGCTACTGCTGTTGCAGAGCACAGGCTTTGGAGCACACGCTCAGTACTTGTGTTGCATGGGCTTAGTTGCTGCAAGGCACGTGGCATCCTCCCACACCAGGGATCAAACCTGGGTCCCATGCATTGGCAGGTAGATTATTTACCACTGCACCACCAGGGAGGTTCTACTCAGTGTCTTTTAACTGGGCGCTATGTATGTTAATACACTGCCAAACAAAATTGGGGTCATCAACCAATAACTGGGAGATCTGAAAACCAGGAGAGAGTCCCCCAAACTTATCTGGACTTGCTGAAGACATGGATGGACCCAAGAGACCCTTTCTGAAATACCAAGGCTAGACTGTCCAAAGCACAGCATGGTGCCTGCTTTTCTCAATCCTGCATTCCCCTCAGGGTGCACTTTCGCTGGGCCACTGCAGTGACTAATAAGCTTGATTGTTGAAGAACTGGAATGTCAAGACATTTTTCTCCTTACAAGTGTTAGTATGAAGCAGCCCTTTCTAAGAGTTGTGCGTTTCACATTCTAGATTATCATCACTGCACAAAACCAGTTCTTGTTTACTTAAACTGCTTAAATTAATTCTAATTGTTGGAATATTCCTGGGTTCAGCTAGCACCCCACATCTAGCCCCACCCCACCAACACCCCACATCACCCCCACCCAACCCCAACCTGGCCAGCGGATCAGGTTTCAGTTCCCAGGCCTCTGAATCACTTCAGCCTCATCAGCAGGACTCCAAGTACAGTTTGGTTCAGTCGCTCAGTCATGTTTGACTCTTTGTGACTCCATGGACTGCAGCACGCCAGGCCTCCCTGTCCATCACCAACTCCCAGAGTTTACTCAAACTCATTGTGTCGGTGATGCCATCCAACCATCTCATCTCTCGTCGGACATGCAGGACTCCAAATGTTATGCCAAAAGCTTTTTTCTTTCCATTGCGATTATCCCACAGAATTTTAAAGTTTTATTAAAAAGTGTTTACAGTTACTTAAACTAATGAGCAATGAACGGTGCAACACAAGACTTGAGAGACCAAGTACTACTTAACCCTGACAAGACACGTCTGGAACCAAAGGGAGGAAGAAGCAGGTAGGTGTTCGCTCAGCCTGGCCCCGCCCTTCAGAAGTCACTCAGTGCTTGTGCTTGACTTCGGAAACAAAGAGAAGCCACTGCAATGAGAAGCCTGGGCACTGCAGACTCAACTCCATGCAGTGCAGCCGCAAGGAGAGAGAGCTGGATCACAGCAACGAAGGCCTAGCATAAGCAAGCCAAAGAAGCTGTGAAAAGGAAATCGCATATTAACAAACTTACTGAAATACAGTTGATTCATTTTTAATGTCCCAAAGATGCCAAACTACACATCAATAGGAGAAGGGAATGGCCACCCACTCCAGTTTTCTTGCCTGGAAAATCCCATGGACAGAGGAGCCTGGCAGGCTACAGAACATGGGGTCCCAAAGAATCTGACATGACTGAGTCAACAGAACAACAACCTCCTCACATAGCAGAGTCAGTGCTGAAAAACAACCCTAAATCTCTAACTTTCCTCCTACAGATTCTTAAGTGATGTCCAGTTGCTTTTGAAATAACGTCCTCAGTTTATAGGCCTTGCAGAAATCAGCCTCTACCTGGCATCACCCCGTCTTCTTTCCCTATGTTGCAGTCACACTGGCTGGTTTTCTGTTCAGTAAATATCTTCCTGCCTCAGAGCTGGCACTCAGGCTCTTCTCTCTGCTTACAAAACTCTTTCATTTACAACCTTGCCAATCCTAAGTGTTTCTTCCTCACAGAGACCTTGTCTGATTTATTGATGTAGGTCAAGACATTCTGTTGAATCTTCTCTTAGCACCAGGCCTGTTTCAGAGCACATATAACAATAGTAATGTTAAAATTATGGATCTAATTGAGTGGCTGGCTCCTAGATTGTAAGCTCTGTCATGTTCACTGCTGTATTCCCAGTTCGGGACACAGAGTTGATACTCACTAAATTTTGATTGAATGAAAGAAAAAAGACAACTCTTCTTGTTTCAATCAATTGTGTGTTTCCATGTGCATGCATGAGTGCATGGATATATAACTCCATGATTTTATTATAAAACCATCTCATAAATATGGTTTATGCTTAGAGCAGTTGCAGTTGTACCTGAACTGTGTATTCCATAGCCTTTAGTTTTTTCTACCTCATCATATGAATAATGTAGATAGTAGTCAGATTATTGACATTGTTGGGGGGATAGAGGGGGTGACCCTATATAGTGACCATTTATGCTATTCCATTGCACATCAGCTCCCTTGAAGTTGTTTCAGGTGTTCTCAGGGAACTCTCTGTGGATGGTCTTTTATACTGTTACTTAACTCTTTGATTCCTTAGGTTCAGTTGTCTCTCCCAACCGCCTGAGCTCAGGTGCTGTTCCCTCATTTCTTAACTGTTTGATCAGAGCTATTTCTTAGAGTGACAGAGTTTTCTCCCCAGTAAGATGGACACAGATCTTTCCCTAATGTTGCTTGTATGTTGATGAGAAGTTGATATGGGTAAAGTCTTTAGGGTAATGCTTAGTGTGTATGAAGTGTTGAGACACCTCTTGTCAATGTGATGATGACATCCTCATCACAATCTGTGTTCTTTTAAAGCCACTGTGGACTTTGTCATCTCTGAAGACACCAGTCTTGCTGTAACTCATCTAGATAGTGAATGTCACTCAGGGTGTAGAATGTAACACTTCTGCATCAACAACCCACTGTTGATTGCAATTTGTTTTTCATGTCTTGTCCACACCCATGATGAATTCATGTTGATTGGAGGATGTCATCATCTTATGAAAAACCAGGAAATTAAATTAGAGAGCAACAATTTGCTCCATATAGATTTGCATGGATCTATGAGAATATTGCTTCAGCTGAATTGACCTTACCTGTCTCACTTCTTCTCCTTCTCTGTGAAAATAAGAATCCTCCTCAGGGCCCATTGGTGAAATGTGTTTTCATTTCAGGCACAGTTGACCTTCAACGATGTGTTCATAGAGTTCACTCTTGAGGAGTGGGAATGTCTGGACCCTGCCCAGAGGACCTTGTACAAGGACGTGATGGTGGAGACCCTTAGGAACCTACTGTCTGTGGGTGAGGATCACTTCCCTCTGAAGTAGGAATCTACTTTGGGTTTTCTCTGCCTTTTCCCTCCCTGTCTCTTGGGCGCCCTGTTTTTCTTGACTGAGCTGAAAGCCTTGTTTACTCAGATATATAAGGCTTCATGATTGGCATCAGGAGGTTAAACTTGTCTTTTCTTTGGGTGACCTGCCCACTGTGTGATACACAGGGAGTTTTTCCAGAGCTTGAGTGTTTATAAAGCTGATTTCAAATTTTGAAATATCCAGTCATCTGTTTTATACCCCTGTGTTCTTGGTTCAGTAATCTTGGAAAGGAACTAGATACCTGATACATACTATACTGTATATTATACTGTTCCCTGTACATTCAGAAGCAGGCAAATAGTAAAGTAATTTGTGAAATATTTTTCTGTCCATCATAATGTCCTCACTTCTTGACTGACAAAAGAGTCGGGATTTTCCACCTGCCAATGCAGGAGACACGGGTTCGATCCCTCGTCTGGAAGATCCCACATCACAGAGCAGCAAAGCCCGTGGGCCAGAACTACTAAAGCAGCACTTTAGAGCCTGGAATCTGTGATTACTGAGCCCACATGGAACAACTACTGAAGCCCGTGCACCCAGGGGAAGCCACAGCAAGTAAGGAGCCCAAACACTGCAACTGGAGCGTAGCCCCTACCTGCCCAATTTGGGGAAAATTCCAAGCAGCAATGATCACTCACTCCAGCCAAAATAAATGAATGAACAAAATTATTAAAGATAACAAATGCATTTATTTTTTAAAAAGAAAGTTTGGATTCTGGAAGAAGTCAAGTATGACATATCTTCTGAGCGGGAATTTCTGATTCTGACCTGAATCATAACTCTATTTTTGTAGCATGAGAAAGGTCCCTGGATTGTGGAGAATGAGGTGCTAATCGCAGAAAATCAGATGAGTGGGAAAGGATCAAACAATGTGATCCCAGGTCAGCTGTCACAAGGACAGAGAGGAAGCCACACCATTCATCGTGTTTGGGAAGCTCTCGAAGTGTGAGAGTTCTGTGAGAGAACAGATATTTAGTATTTGTGAACTCTCAGAGGAGATTTTTCTTCTCCTCAACTTCCTGCTGTGTTCTTTGACGTGTGAAATGTACATCACCCTCCTTGGAAGGAAAGTTATGACCAACCGAGATAGCATATTAGAAAGCAGAGACATTACTTTGCCAACAAAGATCTGTCTAGTCAAGGCTATGGTTTTTCCAGTGGTCATGTTTGGATGTAAGAGTTGGACCGTGCAGAAAGTTGAGCGCCAAAAAATTGATGCTTTTGAACTCTGGTGTTGGGGAAGACTCTTGAGAGTCCCTTGGACTGCAAGGAGATCCAACCAGTCCACCCTAAAGGAGATCAGTCCTGGGTGTTCATTGGAAGGACTGATGTTGATGCTGAAACTTCAGTACTTTGGCCACCTCATGCAAAGAGTTGACTCGTTGGAAAAGACCCTGATGCTGGGAGGGATTGGGGGCAGGAGGAGAAGGGGACGACAGAGGATGAGATGGCTGGATGCCATCACCGACTCGATCGGCATGAGTCTGAGTAAACTCCGGGAGTTGGTGATGGACAGGGAGGCCTGGCGTGCTGCGATTCATGGAGTTGCGAATGTCGGACACAACTGAGCGACTGAACTGACTGACTAAGGGAGAAAGAAAGTAGGTCTGGCTTACAGGTGGCGGTTTCTCAATGAAGAAAATGATTTCATTAGGAAAAAAAAAACAGAAAGAAAGTTTTTATTCAAAATGGACCCCCAAGAAAAGAGGTTCCAAAAGGCAAAGTCTGTCATTTGACTCCTGTCAGTGTAATTTCTTGACTATGGGAAGCATGTGGTGAGGTGTTTCAAAGGGATTTATTTCCTCTTTGTCCCCCTTCTGTGCTGGATTCCATCGGATGCCTGCTTTTTGGTCCACGTAGAAGAGCGCTGACACCTCCAGAGGTTATTTCGGACCCAGCCTGGTTCTCTTCCTATTTGATGCACTTGGGAGACCTCATTGGAAGAAGGGAAAAGACTGGCAGCTCTTCAATTGCATTTGGTGTCTCAGACCCTACACAGAGCTGCCTTCAACCTGTCTTCCTGTTCAGAGCCCTCAGGTGTTCCTGTTGTGACTTCTTTTGCCACATCCTTCAGGGGTGTGTGTAACAGGAATGCGGTTTGGATCTTCTGTGATTGTAACTTGGGAGACCTCAGTGAACATTGAGGTCCTCTTTTGGACAGGACCTGAATTGATGTGTTGTTGGTGCCTTGGAAACCATTTCCAGAAGTAAGACAGTTACACAGGTCAGTTCTTGTGTCTGATCTGAAGTTTCCTTTTTACACTCTTAGAGTTCACTGTAACTTTTGTCCTCTGTTCTGCCCAAGTGGGCCCTGGTGGTTCAGAGCATGTATGAATCTGTAAGTCTCGGTTTCAGTCCTGCTTTTGCTCATTTACTTTCATGTTCCATGGAGTTATGTTCAGGAACCCAGTGAATCCACTACCTTTATTTATAAAATTGAGGTAATTACTGCTGTTAGGTGGCATAGAATGTTGCCTGTTTTACAGAAAAAGTCTGAAGTTACTGTTTTTTGGGTTTTTTTTGTTTTTTTTTTTGCTGTGCCATGTGGCAGGTGGTATCTTAGTTCCCCATTCCTGGATGAAATCTGTGCCCCCTCCAGTGTATGTGCATAATCCTAAACACCAGACCACCAGGGAATTTGCTTCAAAAATTACTTTTGCTTAAAGAATATACTTACTTCCTGTCTCGCTTATTGTGACATCTCTTTGTCTACTTTACATCTTGTATGTTTCTATTTTACTTTTCATTTTTATGAGTGTTCTCTCTGACTCTGGTTAATACGTTTTCAAATAATATGGTTTTCTTCATACGAATACATTACATTTTTAAAGTGTTTTTTTGTTTGTTTGTTTTCACTGAGTCTTTGTTGCTTCAGGGGCTTTTCACTACTTGTGGCAAGCAAAGGCGACTCTCTACTTGCAGTGCATGGGCTTCTCATTCTAATGCCTTCTCTTGTTACAGTGTATGGGCTCTCTGCCTGTGCTCAGTGGTTGTGACTCCCGAACTCTGGAACACGGAGTTGTGGCCTACAGGCTTAGTTGCTCCAAGGTATTTGGGAACTTCCCGGATGAGGGATGGAACCCTTCTGCCCTGCGTTAATTACCAGGTGGATTCTTTACCTCTGAGCCAGAAGGGAGGCCCCAAAGCTTGTTCCTTGACATGTATCTTGGAACCAATGAGTAAGTTAAAGTTGCTGTATAGATAGGGACTTGATGTACTGAATGACTGTTCTTTAAGTAGAGAATGTTTCATTTATTAATATTTTGTTATTTAAAGATGATGGCCTTTATGTATTACACAATGTAACTGACAGGAACCACTTGTCAATGTCATAAAATGCCCATATGTTTATCTACTGATAGATTTATAAGAGGTATTTAGAAAAGTTCTTTTTTTCCCCCCATTATTGTAGGGAATTTCCTGAGCAGTTGTCAACTGCTATTTATGTTTTCCATTATTCACTAAAGTGCTTCTTTTGGATTATTTACCATTGCAGTGTATTGCCTGTTAATGAATGCGTGTTCAGTTGATCGTTCTGTCTGACTCTTTGTGATCTCATGGACAGTAGCCTGCTAAGCTCCTTATCCACGGAACTTTTTTCAGGCAAGAATAGTTCAGTGGGTGGCATTTCCTCCTCCAGGGGATCTTCCCCACCTAGGATTTGAAGCTCCCTATCCTACGTCTCCTGCATTGGCAGACTAATTCTTTACTACCAAGTCACCTACGTAGCCGTTTCTGTTCTTTACCGTTTACTTACATATAAGTATGTATAAAGTGTGTACGATATGCTATATTTTCTCCTCAATTATGGGACAGCAGTGTGTTTACTACCAAGGAGAATGAGTTTAGAAGTCATGGTGCGAAAATACCCTTTTCTTTGAGAACTGACATGAGTTTCGAAGAAATGAATATGTTCTGACTATATCTTTGAAGCTAGGCTACCCTAAAATTAATTTGGATGACATTTGATTGGTCTTTCATTTTTACTTTTATTTTTTATTTTTTTATTTATTTTCTTCCTCTTTCATTTTTAAACAGTTCTATTTGTTTAGCGTTTCAGATATTTTTAAGATCATGATTGGGAAGATGCGTAATTCTGTTCAGCATGGATATGCCATTTGGTATATATATATATATATTTTTATTTTAAAAAGTATACTTTAATTTTATTAGTATGAAATATTTTGAGAGAATTTATTGTATTTGTGACCCAAGTACATGATTTTTAAACACGAAAGGGTTTTAAGTAGAATCATACAATCATTTAGTAAAAGTGCTTGTCGTCAGATCCCGAGAAAAGCAGGAAGGCACTTTCTCTTTTTGGTGTGGATACTGTACTGAACATGTTGCTTAACTGGCTGTTTATTTGATGGAGTTTAATCTGCTTCCCTTTTTTCAGAGTCTTCCTCCTCGAACTCGACTAAACGAGCGTGTCTGTTGGCCTGAGAACCTTCTCCGTAGAATACCTTCTTGATCGTGCCATCCTTTGGTGCCTTTATGGTATGTTCCATCTTCATGGCAATCATAACCATCAGAGAGTCTCCAGTTTTTACTCTGTCTCCAGCTTTCACAAACACCTTTTCAATAGTTCCAGTCATAGGAGCTACAGCACCCCCTTGGGTTTCTCCTGAGCTTGCTGAAGAAAAGTATCGGGGGACTGGAATGCCAATCTGAATACTTCCATCCATGGAAAATAGGTAAATAGTGTTTTCCAGGATAATTAGCTTAGTTTTACTAGCAACTCCATTAACAGAAGATTTCAGATAAGTGCAGTCTCCCTCACTGCAAAGATCACCAAGAACATGGAAAGTTTTATCTTCAATCTGCATGCTATATGATCCATCACGGTTATATGTTACAGCTATGGCTACATTGTTTTTACCATCCCTAAGAATCATGTTTCTAGAGTAACAGATATTCAGTCTTCTTCCACTGCTGGATGCAAAAGGAGAGTATTGATCTTGTGTCTGAATTTTGAAAACATCAGACACAGCTTTCTCCTTGAGGATGAGGCCCAGAGCTGCCTGGCATAAAAACTCCTTGGCTGTGCTCGCCATTTGGTATAATACCATGTATTCAGCATGAAACAATTTATTTATGAATTTTAATTGACAGAATGCATATGGTGTTTATATTTTGTAGATGTGTCTCCAATACATATGGTCAAGAAATTACAGGCAAAAGAAAACAGTGGTAAAGAAGAAATTTTTCAAAGAGTGGTGTTTGGATGAGCCAAAAGCCATGAAATCTAAGATTTTTTCCTCAGAAAGATAGAGGAAAATATGCATGATTTTGAATGTCTGTGGACAGTTGATGAAAGAAATGACAGAGGAACCTCTATATCCCACAGCAAAAATCTCACCGATAGAAGAGATCATGATAGTAGAAGTGATGCAGGAAATAAGGCTGTTGAAAGGCATGGATCAAGCTTTCAAGATCAGTTGCAGATACTGGAATCTGAAGGGACAGTTTCTAAATGTAGTCAGGTTGTGGCGAATATCAACAGTAGCACCTCAGGTTTGCCATCTCAGAGAACTGGTAGTGTCCGTAAAGGCAATTCTCATAAACGTAAGAGTGCTGTTATGCATCCCTCAGAACTGGGACCAGACCAGAAGCACCCAAGAAAAAAACTTACAGCTGTAATGAGTGTAACATGACTTTTCTTCAGGACTCAGAACTCATTAGACATCAAAGAATCCATACAGGAAGAAAAGCATATAAATGTAACATATGTTGTAAGGCTTTTAGTGATAAATTGACCCTTGTAGTTCATCAGAGAAATCATACTGGAGAGAAACCATATAAATGTGATGTCTGTGGCCACTGCTTTAAACAGCATACACAGCTTCAACATCATCGGCGAGTTCATACTAGAGAGAAACCATACAGATATGATGTGTGTGGAGAGGCCTTTAGTCACAAAGCAAGGCGTACAGTTCATCAGACCCTTCATAGTGGAGAGAAACCTTATACGTGTGAAGTATGTGGCCATGGCTATACTCGAAAGTCACACCTTAGAATTCATTGGAGGGTTCATACCGGAGAGAAACCATATAAATGTGATGTGTGTGGCAAGGCCTTTAGTGTAAATGCAAGGCTTGTATTTCATCGGAGAGTTCATACTGAAGAGAAACCATATAAATGTGATATGTGTGGAAAGCCTTTGGTCAAAATTCAGGCCTTGTACTTCATCAGAGTGTTCATACTGGAGAGAAAGCATGTAAATGTGATGTATGTGGCCAGGCCTTTAGTCGAAATTCAATCCTTCTAATTCATCAGAGAATTCATACTGGAGAGAAACCTTATAAATATAACAATTGGGACAAACATTTTAGTGCACAGTCATCCTTAAACTGCCATCAGGTAGTTCATACAGGAGGAAAAGTGTAGAAAGGTAATTTATGTGGCAAAGTCTTCTGTTCCAGGTCTTTGCAGTTCATGGAACCATATTGGAGAGAAACCATATAAATAATGAGCTATGTGGCAAGGCCTTTAGTCAAACAGCAAACCTTGCATTTCATCAGAGAAATCATACTGGAGAGAAACCATATAAATGTGATCTCAGTGGCAAGGCCTTTAAATGCAAACCTTGCAGTTCATTGGAGAATTCATACTGGAGAGAAACCTTACAAACGTAACCATTCTGACAAACGTTTTACTGCACAGCTAGCCTCACCATTGTGCAGTTCAAACAGGATAGACAGCATAGAAATGTGATGTATGTGGGCAGTGCTTGAAATGACCATCTAAGAAATCAGATAATTCATAGTGGAGAAAAATGTTACAACAATCATGAGAAACATTTTAGTGCAGATGTAATGAGTGTAGCAAAGCCTTTAGTCAGAGTTCAGGCCTTATAATACATCAAAGAATTCATACTGTATAGAAACCATACAAATGAAATATGGTATAGCTTCTAGTGCATGTTCAGCCTCAACTGACCGTTGGGCAGCTCATACAGGAGGGAAGCCACATAAATGGAATTTATATGACAAACCCGTCAGTCATAAAATATATCAACTTTTTGACCCTCAGAAAAGTCAAACTAGAGGAAACCGCACGAATGTGGTAGGTGGGGCAAAGCTTTGGTTCTGTGTTCAGACTGACCATTATGTAGTTAACTCTGAATGGAAATCTTAACCCACATAGTGCGTGTGGTAAGTCTTTGGAAGGCATTCAGTTATTTACAAAACATGATAAAATTCATACTGATGAGAATCCATACATTTATAGCACAGTCTGTCCCTCCAATCTTAAGGAAATCATGTAAATATACTGTGTGTGGCCAGGGCTTCAATAACAGGTCTCACCTTTCCCATCAGCAGAGAATTCATAATGCAGAGACACAAATGTAAGAGTCTGGGAAATCCTTCAGGTGGCATTCAGGCGTCAAAAGACATCGGGTGATGGACTGGAGAGACCATCTGAATGCAATCAGTATATCCAGGCTTTTGTCAGGTGTTTACACCTTAGGCTTCTTGAGAATATTCACACTGGATAGAAACTATGTTGCCAGGTCCAGCCCCAGCAGGATCCAGGGGTACCCTCAGGATGAAGAGTCTCGGTGAGAGACAGAGAGAGAGAGAGAGAGAGAGCGACCAGACTGGGGGTGTGCAGCAGAGTCTGGCCATGCTTTATTTTTTATTGTATCTTTTATACCCTAAATTTGTACATTTCTAAGAGGAAGATAGTTTAACATGACATCAGCTTGTCCTTCATGAAACCAGGGTGTATTCTGCATACTTTTTTGTTTATGAGATTCTTGTACATTATCTTCTGGCCTTGGGGTCTATTAACATTTTATGCAAGTCAGGTGAATGTAAACCTATTTTCTGTTTCTGTGGTGATCTTAACAGAAAAGTTACAGTCTCATATGGCAACAGTACAGCATGTCACAACATAGTAGAAGTATAACCTTGTTAACATAAAAGTCAGTTCTTCTGCAGAAGGTGTCAGTTGAATTTATCTAAGAGGTTTACCCCACACAGACTCAGTTTCAGCATCAGTTTCACTGTGGACATTCATGGTTGGTCTCCTTTCGGATTGACTGGTTTGCTATCCTTGCTCTCCCAGGGACTCTCAAGACTGATCTCCAGCACCACAATCCAAAAGCACCAATTTTTCTATGCTCAGCCTTCTTTCAGACCCTGTAATTATGGAAAATAGCAAAGGTTAAAGAATTCTCCCACTTCACTTCCAGGAAAAGGCTTACTGCCAAGAGCCACGTTTCCCCATTAACACTGCATTAAGACTCACACTAGGCCCTTTGTTTACCTGGGGAAAAAAACAGACACTCTAGTTTCCCAGTCTTTGCCCTAGCAATGATTTATTGTTGTTGTTCAGTCACTAAGTCGTGTCTGACTCTTTGCAACCCTGTGGACTGTAGCAGGGCAGGCTTCCCTGTCTTTTACTATCTCCTGAAGTTTGCTCAGATTAATGTGCATTGAGTTGGTTATGCTATCCTAACCATGTCATCCTCTGCTGCTCCCTTCTCCTCCTGCCCTCAATCTATCCCAGCATCAAGGTCTTTTCCAATCAGTCTGATATTTGCATCAGGTGGCCGAAGTATTGGCGCTTCAGCATCTAGTCCTTCCAGTGAATATTCAGGCTAATATTCATCCTGAATATCCCTTCAGGATGGACTAGTTTGATCTCCTTGCTGTCCCAGGGGCTCAAGACTTCTCCAGCACCACAATCGGAAAGTATCCATTTTTCTATGCTCAGCCTTCTTTATGGACCAAGTCTCACATCCCTACCTGCTACTGGAAAAACGATAGCTTTGACAATAGGGACCCTTGTTGGCAAAGTGATGCCTTTGCTTTAAAATACACTGATAACTTATCATACCTTTCCTTTCAAGGAGCAGGCTGTCTTAAACTTCCTAGCCGCAGTCATCTTCAGCAGGGATTACAGCAGTGAATTGCTGCGCCCCGAGGTCCCGCCCGCCGCGCCCCGAGGTCCACCACACCCTCCCAAGGTCCCCACGCACGATTGGCTTCGCTTCAAGACCGGCCCCCTGATGCCCTGTGCTCGCCCCCAGGCCGCTAGGCCGTTTCACTGAGGGTGCGCTTGGCGTCACGCATACCCGGAAGCGGAGAGCGGCGAGTGGACGTCTCAGCGCAGTGAGTTTGTCTTTCTAGTCAAACTTGCGCCTCGCAGTCTCTTTTCCTCACTACCCCGGGCCTGACGGTCGCTACTGAGTCTATATCCGCGCGCCCGCCCGACCACCCGCAGCAAATTCAGACGTCTCCGAGAGCGGCGTAGGGCGCCTCCCCTATTGTTTTAAAGTCTCCGTGAAGCCGAGTCCTGAATTCAGACCGTTGAGACGCTCCGTTTCACACCCCTTTGCCTCTTAAAACCATTTACTGACCTCACGGACCCCTCTGCCTTTCCTGCAGCGCATAAAATTCTCTTCGGCGAGGTGGTTTATTCGCTCCGCGCTCCTCAGCCTCGCCCTCTCGGCCTCTGGAGGCCGCGCCCTCTCCCCGTCCTGGGATTCTGGAGAGCCCGCCCCTCTCCTGAGATCCCCTCCTCCCAGCCCCTGTCCTCACGTCTCCTCAGGCGGGTCCTACTGCCCCTCAGGCCTTGCCTTCACAGTGACCGTTCCGCTGACACCGTGTGGGGGTGACCAGCCACGTGACACCCATGGTTCCGTCCCCAATTCCACCTGCTGGAATGTGGCTCTTGTGGAAGCGGCGCTACTTACTCAGTCTCCTACCCTGTAGTTAATGGGCGAGGTGTGGTCATGAGAAGCAGAGACAGCGACTCCGAGAGAAATAGAAAATGGAGAAAGGCATGAGGGAGAAGCGATGACAGTGAAGAGGATTGTGAGGAACTTGGAAGAGACAGCGACATGAAAGAGAATACCCCTTCGGTAGCAGGTGGGGAAAGGAGAGAAGTTTAGAAAAAACAGCATCTCCGGGGAGTTATAGGTGAGGAAAAAAGGGAGGTGGCGTTCAGTCTGAGTCTTTGCAACCCCTGTATCTTCCAGAGTTTGCTCAGATTCATGTCCGTTGAGTCCAGGGATGGTATCTCACCATCTCACCCTTTGCCGCCCCCTTCTGTAGCCTTCAAGGGAGAGGGGCTGTAAATCAGGGGTCTCAAAGAGGGCAACAGTGGAGACGCGCAGTTCACACCGAGAGCCCGCAAAGGTGATACAGGTGTTGGGACCTTGACTTACAGAGCAATATCCTGCTGGGAGAGAAAGTGATTGGTGGAGCTGAGAAAGAAAGCGAGCTGAAAGGAAACATAGCCTCTTGGGGGTGCCAGAGAGTTGGGAGGAAGGGGGGGCAGAGATGGAGGACGAAAGGCAGAAATGCAGGGAGATTGAGGCTCACCAGGGAGGTTGGAGAGAAAGCAACTTGAAGGCGAACAGTGGCAGAGAGAGGCGGGATGGGAGGCAGGGAAGAAGTAGAGAGGAGGAAGGGCACAGAAGGAGAGCAGAGATGAGAGCAGAGAAAGGGAGATGTAGAAAGAAGTAGGGAAACGGATCAACCAGATGAAGTGGAAACAGCTAGTGTGCAGGTGATGGTGGGGACTAGATCCAGAAGAGTGCTGAGTCAGTTGGGTAAGAATTACTAAGTCATTATACATTGATTTTTGGCTTTAAAATCTAATGTAGATCTTGCTTCTTTAAAGTATACAGATAAGAATGAGAATTGCAAAACTTCTGTCTATGAGGCATGTGTATTTTGTAATTATTTGTATTAAAAGAGCATGCATGTGTAGAGCCTGTTGAGGTGGGGGCTGGGGCAGTGACTTGATTCTCTCAGGTGTGGGTCACCCCCTTCCCTATTCCTGGTGAGGAGTAGAGGTTATGTGAGAGAAGAAATGGGGCAAGAACTGACTGACTTACTACATGATGCCTTTTCAAGGAACTTTAACCATGTTCTTTGTGATGGTTTTACTTTTGGCTTTCTGCTTTCTTTACATTTAATTATTTTTGTAGTTTGGGATAAAGATTTGTTCCTTCAATAGCGACTTTCTTGTAAACAATTATGGAGATTTGTCTCACTTGGGACAATTTGGATGAATGTAGAGAATATTATGGTAAGTGAATTAAGACAGACAGGGAAAGACTGATATTATATGTCCTTCCATTATATGGAATGTAAAAAAAAACGAAACTCACTAGTATCAGAGGGTAGGATGGTGGTCATCTGGAAGGTCTGGAAGATGGGGAGATGTTGGTCAAAAGCTATCGACTTTGAGTTGTGAAATGAGTGCGTCCTGGGGAGGTATGCGCAGCATGCTGACTGTAGTTAATCCTGTTCTGTTACTACTTGCTTCGAATTTGTCAGGAGAGTATGTCCTCAGTGTTGTCACCACACATAGAACATGGGAATTTGGAGGTGATTTATGTGTTGGTTAGTGGTTTGTGATAAATATTTCACAGTGTACACATGTGTCACATGGTCACAGGGTGTATGGTATGTGTACACATACTCCTTTGGTTTGTCATTTCTCCCCCATCAGACACACTCCTCAGGATCTCATGTGGGGCCTCCCCGCAGGAATGTTCACAGGGCGCAGATGATAATGATTTGGATCCTGCATTGAGCACCAGGGCTCTTAGCCTCCAGTTCTGAGACTTCGATCAGACCCTGGGGGAGGGGAGGGCGCTCTGCTCTGAGTGGAGCTGGACCAGGGCCTGCTGTGTGACCTGAAGGGGATCGTGGGGCCAGCGGAGGTTCCCCCTGCTGCTGTGTGCATGAGGTCTCACCAGGAGGGAAGTGTGATCCGAGGGAAAGTGTGGGAAAGTCCCTTGTTGGTCTCTGTGTGGGAGTTGATTGTCCTGAGTCCCTCCTGAGACAGTGGGCACAGGGGACTGTCTGTTCCACATGGTGAGGGATTCCTTGTGTGTGTAGTTGGGGCTCAGGAAAGGGGTGTGTTGACTCTAAGCATTAAACAACGTGTTTTCAACTTTCATAATAGAACTGTAAAGACTTATGGACGAAGAAGCCCAGAAGAGGAAAGAACAGGAGTCAGGCATGGCTCTTTCTCAGGTAAGGTCATATTCTCAGTGGATTCTCACGCTGCCTTCCTGAAATGCCCTTCTCTGGACTTGATAATCGTGTCTGACTCTGGAGTGTCCTGTCTGACTCCTGTACATGCACACTCACCTGGGGCCTTCCCTCAGGGCCTGTCGTCTCCACTTAGATCCCATCTCCCCATGACCCGGTGACCTGGCCCTTGTGAGGAGGCTCCCCTGGGCGCTGTCCTGGGCAGGGCTTCATACCCACAGGTTGGAGACAGGGTCTCGGTGCTGTTGGGCAGCAGGGACTGTTTAGGACCCACCTGGATGTGCTGTCTGCTCTGTCAACCAGGGTAAAGAAGCTGTACGTGGACCTCAGGTATTAACATGTACAGTAGACAGGAAAATCTGCCAAAGAGGCCAATGAGTGGAAATCAGTTCTGACTTTTTATAGTACATTTAAAACTAATTGAGCACCTCCTTGAAATCCTAAGTGTTTGGGAATGGAATGGAAAGTTCAGAAAGAGATCTCAGGACTACATGGTGTTTCATATCATTGTCTGTTTTATCTTTTTTCTTCTTTTTCAGTTTTTTCTTTCTTTCTTTTTTTAATTCCTTCCATTTTTAAAAAATTCTTTCCATTGTCTATTTAAACCATGAAATCAAGTTTACTAATATTTTTTGTCTTTTCTTCTTGGTTGCAAGATGTGTCTTGTAGGATCTTAATTCCTGAGGAGGAATTGAACCTAAAACCCCTGCAGTAGAAATGCAGGGTCTTACCACTGGATCACCAGGAAAGTCCCAACTTTACTAATTTTGATTCATTATTTATTTCAGAAACATTTAATGTAGGCAATTAGAGATCAAGAATTTGCTCCAAATAGCTTTCCATGGATTTATCAGAATATTATTTCTACTGAAATGACCCTTACCACTTTTTCCTCTTCTTCTTTTGTGTGAAAATAAAAACTCTGCTCAGGGCCTATTGATGAAATGTTTTCATATCAGGGACAGTTGACCTTCAAGGATGTGGCCATCAGATTCACTCCTGAGGAATGAGAGTGCCTGAACCCTGTTCAGGGGGCCTTGTACAGGGATGTGATGATGGAGACCCTTAAGAATGTGCTCTCTGTGGGTAAGAATAACTTGCCTCTGAAGTTGGGATCTGCCTTAGGGGTGTGTCTCTGCATTTTCTCTGTATGCCTCTTGGTAGCCTGTTTTTCGTAACTGAGGTCAAAGCCCTGTTGACTCAGACATGAAAAGCCTCATGATTGGCATTAGGAATTTAAACTTGTCCTTTCTTCAGGTGATTTGCCCACTACATGTTACACAAGGAGTTTTTCCAGAGCTTAAGTGTTTATAAAGTTGATTTCAACCTTTTGAAATACCCAATTTCCTATTTTCTACCCCTACGGTCTTGGTTTAGTAGTTCTTTAAAAGTAATAGGTATTTGCATATAGTACTATTCCTTATGCATTCAGAAGAAGGCAGAGAGTGAATGAATTTGTGAAGTATTGTTCTTTCCGTCTTTAATGCTTTAATCAATATTCACACCTTGGAATTCATCAGAGAATTCATACCAGAAAGAAACCTTACAAATGGAAGAAGGGTGGCAAAGTCTTCAGTTGGAGTTGGGCCTTATTATTCATCAGTACATAATGGAGAGAAACCATAGAAATGTAATGAGTGTGGTAAAGCTTTTAGTGTATGTGTAGTCTTAACTGACCATCAAGCAGTTAAGATATACATGAGAGAAACCTTTTAAATGTATGTGGCAAAGCCTTTAGTTACAGATCTTATTTTACAGTTCATGGGAGAATTCATACTGGAGAGAAACTATATAAATATGATGCATGTTGCTCATGCTTTACTAAAAATGCACACCTTGGAATTCATCAGGGAGTTCATACTGTAGAGACATCATATAAATGTGATGTATGTGACAAGGCCTTTAGTCAAAATGCATACCTTGCAGTTCATCAGAGAATTCATACTGGAGAGCAACCATATAATGTGATGTATGTGGCAAGGCCTGTAGTCAGACCACAAACCTTCTAGTTCATCAAAGAATTCATACTGGAAAGAAACTATATAAGTGGGATATTTGTGGCCAGTGCTTTACTCAAAATGCAAGCCTTGGAATTCTTCAGAGAATTCATACTAGAGAGAAAACTTACAAATATAATGAGTGTGACCAAGATTTCAATGCATGTTCAGCTCTAAGCAACCATCAAGCAGTTCATATAGGAAAGAAATCATATAAATGTAATTTATGTGGCAAAGCCTTCTGTTACAGGTTTTATCTTCGTTGGAGAATTCACACTGGAGAGAAACCATATAAATGTGATGTGGATGACCGGTGCTTTACTCAAAACACACACCTTAGAATTCATCTGGGAGTTCATGCTGGAGAGAAACCATATAAATTTGATGTATGTGGCAAAGCCTTTAGTCAAAATGCACATCTTACAGATCATCAGAGAATTCATACTGGAGTTCAGTTCAGTCACTTAGTCGTGTCTGACTCTTTGTGACCCCATGAACCGCAGCATGCCAGGCCTCCCTGTCCATCAACACCTCCTGGAGTCCACCCAAACCCATGTCCGTCGAATCGGTGATGCTATCCAACCATCTCATCCTCTGTCGTCCCCTTCTCCTCCGGTCCTCAATCTTTCCCAGCATCAGGGTCTTTTCAAATGAGTCAGCTCTTCACATCAGGTGGCCAAAGTATTGGAGTTTCAGCTTCAACATCAGTCCCTCCAATGAACACCCACAACTGATCTCCTTTAGGATGGACTGGTTGGATCTCCTTGCAGTCCAAGGGACTCTGAAAAGTCTTCTTCAACACCACAGTTCAAAAGCATCAATTCTTCGGTGTTCAGCTTTCTTCATAGTCCAACTCTCACATCCATACATGACCACTGGAAAAACCATAGCCTTGGGTAGACGGACCTTTGTTGGCAAAGTAATGTCTCT